CCCCAAAACCCCAAAACCCCAAAACCCCAGCCTTAAGTTTTACCCTAATATTCCAATCCTATATTACACTGTAAACTCAATTTAGAACAGGCTTAAGACCAGATCTAGGATTTTATAGAGGAATGCTGGAATTAGGCAGAGAGAGAAGTCTGAGGGCAAGTAGGAATGGAGGTAAGAATGGAAATGAGTGACAGTGGAATCTGGAGATGGGTTTGGGAGTGGAGGAATGTGTATTAGAGTATATGGAATGAAGAGGGAGTTATTTGGGGTTGCCGAGCTTTTTTGGAATTGTGAATTTTGGGGATTTTGAGTGGAGTTTTGAGAGTTTATGTTGTTTGTGTTGTTTTAGTTTATGGGTTTTGTGAAGGTGGAGATGTGTTCTTTATGGAAATGTTATTGTGATCTTTGAGGTTTCTATATTTTAAGTTTAAGTCGTACCTGATGTTGAGTAATTAGAAACAATTATTAGGAAACTTAAGTGCGTTGTTGAGGAGTTCATTAAGAGATTACTATGAATCTTAATCACTACTCCCTAGGCTTATAATAATCTTCACAATATAAATCATTCACTATCATAAAATCCCTTTATTCCCCCATATATCCCCTCCAAACCACAAACTCTAATAAAATTTAAACCAAGTGTCTGGACACATATCACCAAATTTGTCTTCTTCCACTACTATTCCTTTATTTGTCCAATAGATATCATAAATTAACTATTTGTGATTGTTAGGTTCGCCTTGGAGATGAGATTGAAGGAGGGAGGTTGAAGTGAACATGGGTTATAGCTGGAGCACGGATTTGGGACTGGAAGGAGGGCTGCGGAGTGCTAGAAGGGGGAATTTTGAAGGGAGTGGTTGTGGGTGCATGGAAAGGGTCTGAAGGAGAGTAGGATGAAAAGCTATCCCATGGCCTATATGAGGGTTGGAGAGGAGGTTACTTTGGGTGTAATTGCTTTTTTGAAATTGCTATTTTTGGTAACTTTGAGATAAATTTTGAATATTTCTTTTTGTATCGTCTTTTTACCCTACGGCGCTTCCTTTGTTTCTTGTGTGCTTTATTTCTAGGAATGATTGGGATCTTAGGAGATTCTATATAATAGTATTTTAATATACCAGATATTCTTGAATCAGCTAGATTTTTATTCTCTTGCTCTTTCTTCATCCTAATTCACAATAATCATCCGAAAAATCTTGAAAGCTATATTGATCACTACATAAACTTACAAGGAATAAAATTCTGTGTTTCTCCTGATAACTGTAACACATCAAATATCATCAGCGCAATATGAATACAAAATTTATTACGACAACCAGTGAGACTGTAAGGATATTGAGAGCTTCAATCTGGGCTTCCATTGTGTATACATAAGCAGCCATAATAACGACTGCTCCTCAACTGATTTCTAAATACTCTATCTCATTGTTCTCATCATATTTGTAAGGCTTCAGCCACAACTGAATTCTTGATGAGATTATCAAGAGGACCGAGGCTACGCCAAGTCGGGCTTTCTCATCGAGAAGGAGACATGCAGCAAGCAAGAATTTCCTGAGAGTTTTCACAAACTCCCAGTAAATTCATTTATTTGTTAGCCCTTGATGAAGAAGGAGTAAATACTCCTTGACCTTATGATCTTCCTCTTTAGCTCTATTGGCTCAAAGGATTACAAAAGCAATAACTGGCATTGTTATAACCCAAATGATCAGAATAGGAGCTGATATCAAAAGGCAGTATTTTATATGAGTCATTGAATAGCATTGGATGTCCATATCAAATCTGGCCACTTTAACTCCATTGTCAATTTCCATTCATCTCCAGATATTTATTCCTTCTTGAGTCAGTCTGGGATGCAACAAGAATATGATGCAGATGAAGGATACGATTAGATTCTTTGCAAGATTCTTTCCGAATTTTTTGTTCGTCCAATAAAGAATGATCCAGAATATAGAGATTGGTACAAAGATTAGGAGAGGTAAAATTACCAGTAAAAATAATTTGAATACAGCATTTGATCTAAATGGGCCAGTGATTTCGTATCCAGGAAATAAGCAGTCAAAAGATAGCAATACTGTTGAAGACCCTCCAATTATATCTATCGAAGTTACAAAATAGCTATCAAGCTGAGGAAAATTAGAACTCATTGACAATGATGTCATTATTAACTGGATATAGTTGGTAAATAATCTTAGTAGTACAGATAGTTCACTCTCTAATATATAAAACAAAATCTTACCTTCAGTTCTTCTAACATTGATTCCAATGATGATCATAAAGTAAGCTATTGCAAGTATTGCTTTAAAAACCAGCAGTACAGCAGTAAATTCAACACTTGGGCATTTGGCACATCCAAATTCATTTTGTCTTTGATATTTTACATCTCCAATGATGCTTCATTTGGAGCATAATGGACCTTCATATCCTTCTTTTCAATTGATAGGAGATGTAAAATTCTGTACATAGCCCCCTTCTCACGCTTCTTGGTTGAGTCATTTCACAATCATGGTTGAGTTAGAGGTTCTCCTCCAATAGCCACTGCTAACACTCAGCTCAGCGCCTCCTCTTCAAGCTACGTTGTCAATTCACTTATCACACTCAGTTGAGTTCCATTTGAGAGAGAATGTGCCAGCCGAGCAAATTTCACACTTGTTTTTATATTGTCTCTCTCCAGGTTGGCAGTACCTAAAATTTGTGTTGCATTCTTTGGCGGTTGTAGTTTTATTATACACAGCAAGTAGCTTTTCCTTATCCAACATTTTAGAAGTTATCTTAAATCTTACAAAATCTGAGCCTGGTTTAGCAATAAACCAGATATCACTAAAAGTAGCAACTCCATTCCTAATAATCGCATTGTTATCTCCAGCAACTTGGCCTTGATTAGTATCAATTGAAGTAATTAATAACTGAGAAGAATTCACCAAATTCACAATCTGATGCTCATGATCGTATATGGCTAATTTAAGAGGGGTTTCGCTTAGGATTCCTGATGTAAGATTACTCAAAGGTTCACATTGATTTCACTGATAGCCCTCAAATCCAATTCAATAGGGATAACTAGCAAGATTATCACCATAAGGAGCTGAGTTGTTGCTGAACACAACCCCACTGAGCAAGGGAGGACTATAGTCATAATAAATAGCTCCTCCTTTCGAAACAGCTAAGTTATTACAAAAACTGGAATTAATTATCTGCAATTTTCATCTATCAGTAGATGATCACTGGAAAGAAATTGCTCCTCCACTTATTGCTGTGTTTCCGATAAATGAGGAATTCTCAATCTTCATCACAGTATTATGAAAGACCAGAGCTCCACCTATTAGAGTAGATTTATCTCCATTATTTTCAAAATATCACTGAGTCATATTTACAATATCAGAGTCAATAAATTCTACTATTTCCAAACTGTTGCTGATACTAAGGTTGTAAATCAAATTGAAGTGTGAGTTTTGTGCTTTTATAAGAGGTCTCTTTAAGCCTGAAGCATCAATATTCATAAGCTCAGTTCCTTCGCTATCTTTGAAGTGAAAATATTGTTCAGCAATGTCTAACCCAGAGGGTATTTCAATATCGTCCAAACTCACCCAAGTTGATCTGATAAAATCAATCAAATAATTTGCATTAGAAATATTTTGAAAATGGATTTGCTTCAGTTTAGCACTGGAATCTTGAATCAAAAATAAATGAGTGTTAGAGTTTTTGAATGTTAAATTTGATGCCTCAAATTCACTGCTTGATGATGCTAAAATAAGCCCTCTGTTATCAGGCTGAGTCACATTAATAATCTGTACATCTCTGAATATAAACTTTGAGTTGTACCCCACACTTTGATAATGCAGGATTTCAGTATTGGATATCGTGGAATTCAATATTGTGACTAAGGAATCAGAAGCAGATATAAATTCTTGTTGATTGTAAATCTTTGTGCCATTAGATATCTCTAATGACCCGAACAAAATTTGAACGGCTGCTTGAGATTTTATGATATTCGAATGAATGAATGTGGTAAGATACTCTTTTAGGCTATCGCTCATGTGTCAAAATTTAGAGCAATTTGTGAACTCAAGAAGTAATTCTGATGTTTTTACAACTTCATTTTGGTAAATTTCACAACTATAGTCAATGGTTAGAGATATAAAATTCAATGCAAGATATTTTAGATGCTACTGGATTAATAAGAATTTAATTAAGTTATCCAAATGACTTACTTCGAAAATACTGAAACTTTGTTGAGCCCATACAGCAACCCGATTGGATTTTGGATTGCATAGTTTAGGTAGATTTTAGAATTAATAAACTCAAATTTCCCATTTGATTCTGTTGATATCACTCCGCTTGATGCGGCAAAGTTGTTAGTCACTGTACAGCTAGTTCATTGAACCTCGGAATCATCTTTAATTTTGAATATTGATGAGGATATTGCCAAATTGTCTTTGAACAAAGTATTTTGTATGATAATAAGTGAATTATGCCCAGTATCAAATATTCCAGAGCCTAAATAAGTGCTATGGATATTTGAAAAAGAAGAATTGATAATTTTCAGCACTCAATTAAAGTCTGTCCTGATAAGGGACATTTTAGTAACTGAAGCATTTTTAACATAAACTCCTTCGAAATTCACAGAAGTCTTCAAGTCTGGAAAGATAGAGTTGAAAGACTCTGCATTAATTTTCCCAGATTTCACCTCAATCAAAGTGAGATTTGTCACAACAGCAGGGACACTGAGCTGATGCCCGAAGCTGATGAGATCACCCCAAGAGTAGTATGTGACATTTTCAAAAATGATAGAGTTCATTCTAATCTCATATAAGCTCGATGATATCATTCCTTCAGTAGAAATCAATGAGCCCGAGTGGAATATATATCAATCTGAATATGTAATTTGGTCCAAATTGAGGACTTTGGCTTGATCTGTTGAACCGTGAAGTGAGCCTACTTTGATGGCACCTAATGAAGAATCTTCAAATGTTATATTTTCTATGACTGAATAATTTGATTCTTGTACATTAATAGAAGAAATTTCTAAGAAAATTGACTTCTCATTTTGGTGAAGAGAGTGAGAAGAAACAATTTTTTGGTTAGAAACCAAGAAATCATCTGCATCATAAAGATGAATCAGGGCAGCAGAAGTCTCCAGCCTCACGTTATGGTAATAACCATCCTGAATTCTGATTTCTTTGAGATTATTCATCTGTGATATCAAAGAATTGCCATACAAAATACAGTCTATTGCAGAGATGTTCTGGATGGTCGTAGTGGAGTTAGATAGAGATCTGATATCGATTGCAGGAAAACTCCCATATTTGTCTGAAGTGTAGTTTTGGATATAGATGTCCTTGACTGTCACATCTATAGCTCCAATAGATTCTATCAATGGTCCAGAGCATTTTGGGATGTTTTTAAAAGTGATATTTTCATTTACAGCCCAGTTAGCAAATCTGGTTGAGACAAAGGGAGCTGTGCTAGTACAGTTTGTAAATGTAGCATCTTTAAACACCCAGCTGTCCATCATTGATGAGAGCACTGCAAAGTAAGTTTTAAACGAATTGATCACCGAGTTCTCAGCTGTGTATTTCTCAATATGTTGGTGAATGTTTCGATAGTGAGGGATGTCAGTTCTCATTACATTTGCTGCATAATAGTTGGAATTGTCAGCAATCAAATCATTCGATACTCCTACTACAGTTACTTGCTGCAGCAAAGAGTCTTGTGGGATGCAGTTCGAGATTGTCCGGTATGCAAAGCATCTGTGGTCGCCAGATTTCAAAGTAAACCAGTTTCTTCAGTCAATATTTGTAGCTGTAATATTTTCTGGTCCACTTAAGTTGATAATTGACTGAGGAGCTCGTCCATTCAAAATGTTGCTATTGACAAAGGAGAAGTTATCAAAAACAAGAGTTGTTGTGAGGTCAGCTTCGGGGTAATTACAATTTTCCAATGAAGCATCATAAAAGTTCATTAATCTGACTAAATCGGCCTTGACTGATTTGATGATTGCATTTAGAGGTCTACGAGTCTGAACAAAGCTTCCTGTTATGTTTAAGTTGACATTTTCTAAAATTCATCAAAATTGGCAAATCAAATTAATAATTGCCCCATATAAAAATTCTGTAAAGACTCCGAAATATAAACCATAACTACTCAATATTATAATACAGCCAGACTCAGCCTTACCCAAATCCCCGCTCAGGCATCCCCTCACTACTCCACTCCATATTTTTCAGTGCCTCTAAACTCCTTTATTCAAAAAAATTATTTTCCAACAATGATACCTGAAATATTTTGTGGTTTACAAAATTGTTCTTACCGATATGTAGAGTTTTTGAATTTATGTTTCCTCAGTATATCAGGATGAAGCCCAGATCTGGAGTTTTCTCTTCTCTGTAGATATTGATGTTTTTCATGATGAAGCTTGTCTGGATAGGGAGGATTGTAATTTTGCCTATTTCGTGTAGAGCAGCTTCGTATTCACTGAGTCCACCAGAAGACATGGCTGTTTCGATGGGGAGCTCAGTGGTACCAAGGAGATGAAACAAAGTCTTAGAGGGAAATTCTGTTTGAGGGACTTGAGTTGGAATTAGCACAGGAGGGTTAAGGACGTTTTTCCATTTTGGATGAGGGAGAACTGTTACTGAAGTCATATTAACGTAAATATTAGTATCATCTTGAAGATAAGCATCCTTTGTGTAGATCACAACAGAAATGCTGGTGTGGCTGTAGAAGGTCAGTATTTCATAACTGACAGCTTTGAAAGAGCGATAAGGGTACTCAAGAGTTCCTAGCTCAAGAGGCTGCTCGCTATAAATGTCGATGTAATATTCAATGATATACTCATCTTTGAAATTTCGAGTGACAGGAGATAAATTAAGTTCTGGGCTCTCAAGAATTACTCCTTTTGAAAATGGTTTATTATTAATGTAATCACTAGGATCAACTCACTGGAAAGTGTTTAACTCTAAAACTGTACCTTCTGGGCAGTCAAGACAAATTTTTTGAGCTTTACAAGCTCCATTGCAACTTCCATTTCAATGTTTTCACATCATAGTAACAACATCATAATAATACCCTTGAGGTCAACTTTCACATAAAAATGTCGCCTGATTCAACTCCATATAATCCTCTCACCCAGTTCATCTCCCAGGTCCATCTCATCGCTTTCATGAGCTATCTCAAGGCTCTCAAAATTCTCCATTCTTAAAATACCCCTCAAATCACTAAGAATCACTTATAAAAACATTACCTTGTCTCTCACCAAAATGAAAGCTTGACAGATCAAAGTAAAATTCAAAACCACTATCATCAATCTCTTGCTTGCCCATTTCTGTACCTATACAGCCTTCAGCTCAAAATTTATACACAAATTTTCTGAAATTCAGCTTTAAGTCCATGCTTCTTCAAATTGTTGAGAGTTTTTATAAAATTAAGAACAAATTTTGAGAAATTTGTGGAAAATTTAGGATTTAAATGGGATTTTAGGAAGAAGTTTAGCAGGTTTAGGAGGTTTAGGAGGTTTAGGAGGATTTACCACAGTCACATCCCTAAGCTTAATCTCTCAACTCCACTACCATCGGCCTCCTTCATAATATGCTCACTAATCAACCCAGCGCTCTTCTTAATTTTAGCTCATGAAATTTTACAATTCCTAACTTTCTTTCAAAACTAAAACCTTAATTCTCAGAATTTATCGACCTGCCAGATTGGTTTAGCAAGAAACCTGAAGAGGGCTAGAATTAAGTGGTATAAGAAATATTGCCCGATATGTATAATTGGGAAGATTATTGACCGATGTATAGCCTGAGCTGTTAAGATACACTGAGCGGAAATGAGTCTGATAGCTCAAGCTTCGATTTCAGATTAAATACTTCATCTACTATCAGATTTTAAGCTATCAGACTAATTTCCCCTCAGAATATCTTATCAGTCCATACCCACACTGAGCAACTCCCTCTATAATTCCCCATCTCAACCAATATCCACTACACCAATTACTCCATCCCCTACCACCCCTCCTGTACAACAAAATTTTCCATAATTTCATCAAATAATTTTCTATCAAATAAGTAACCACACCCAAAACCCCCAAAAAATATCCTAAATCCTTCTAAATTTCTTAACTCACTAAAGACTCGGAAGGAGGTACCCTGGCTGAAGATGTCCTGGCTTGGCCGGCCAAGCCAGGATTAGCTGGATTTGTGTGGGAACTTACGATTGGGGTGTTCATATTTGAGGGATTATTAATATTCATTATTGTATAAGCGTGGGGTTTTGGGGTTTTGGGGTTTTGGGG